AAAAGTGGAAGAAGTTCTTGAAACTATATAGGTGAGTGAAATTAATTTTTTGATTTTTGAGTTGGGAAGGTAAGTGATTAAACTTTGAAACTTTGAACGTTGGTTTTTGGGGAAACATCACAGACCATTATTTATATACTGATAGCAACTGTCACAAATTCACGGGTTATACAAAATGGTTGTGAATGACGAGGAACCTGAATGATCCCAACAGTATCCATAAATTAACCTTCTAAATTCATTATAAGTAAGATAGGTCTATTCCGTAAATCTTGTGTTATTATTCATGCAACTATGCCATTATGTAAGAAGTATTATTAAGTAATAAGTAATGTATCCAAATATTGGTAGTCATTAATGACTACTTTAATGTAAGAACCTTAAAATAAACTCAAATAAAAAGGAAACAATCGTTGTGAGAATACATTTCTAACGATGCAGAAATTAAAAACATGTTGGAGTAATCGATTTTCTCAGTCTCCAGACAACGGGATCCCCTTAACGAGCACAGAAGGCTGACCGAGAAACGAAGTCATTTTTGACCTAAAATTGTGCTCTTAATCGCGAAACAGCCACCTGCCGCCAGTCATTTCCAGAAATAATGAGAACACCGATGCGAAGCTAGATAAGTGAAAAAAAATTCATATATATTCCGCGTTTATCGGTCCAACGATCCGATTCTCGGTAGCCCAGAATTTTTGTACCTGTATCGGAAGCGCTCTATTATTTATATATAAAAAAAAGGAATAAAAACAAAAACAACGATGACAAATCGTCGCTAAACGATGTACCCACGGTTTCATTTATCCCTTTGAAATCACCGGTAATGTGGAACGCGGGCGAAGTTTCACGCACGTCATCGAACTGTGTAATATTTCTATCCTTGCTCGTAATAGATGGAAATATCGGGCCACATATTGTCATGCTCGAGCAGGCCCGTTATAAAGGTACATAGGTTCGTTCCACGCGACCCGGCTACGGTAAACACCGAATGACTGCGTTTTAATTAAATCTCTATCGATCGAATTTGCCCGGACTATTCACGCATTGATGAGTTTTAATTTTAGCATCTGATCCCCAACCGGCATTCTTTGGGGATTGTTAAGCCCTAGATAAATGGATGCTATCTTGAACGATGAACGATTCGGGGATACCTCGGCCTCCCTTCGCTTTTCATCTTTAACCCCTTGCCCTATGATTTACTTCTCAACTGTGATCGATACAGTTACTTTATCGTTAACAATTTTGTCAAAAAATAGAAAAATTCTAAGCACATCCTATGTGAATGTTTGCTCTAAAGTATAATTATTTATAACAGGAGAATAATGTTTAATTTGAATTCGAAAGGAACGAGTAATATTGATCCTTGATAAATTCTCTTGAAAATCTTTACCACGAGTCTGACACGTTGTCATAAGGCAAATGGTTAACACGTTGACTGCTACGCTTAAAGACATCAGCGTTTTATTGGGTTATCTCATAATTAATGCAGCTTTTTTCTATATTTCTTCTATTTTAAGAAATTCAGATGAATAGAATTCTTTTAATCTAAAATGTGTTCTCCTTCATTATCTATAGATTACCTATGTATCTATACATTTTAATAAGATTAAACAATGTTTTGCGGACCTTAATTTTTTAGAATAGAAGAAATATAAATAAACTGTATTGTTTATAGAATGACCCAATATGCGCCAATTTTTCTTTCTGTAGCAAAGGTAAACAGGAAGAATTGTTAATTATTTGCTATCACAATTCTTACGTTACACTATTATCTAATTATTTAGGCTACTGAACATTTTTATCCGACATCAGTTATCTTACAAGCTATAATTATTTACTTATATACAAAATTATTGACATTTCGACATTCGTAGGTATAGCAGAAGTGCTTTCTATATTTCAATATATATCTTAATATGACCCAAATTTGTTCATTACATGTATTTTCATTACTTTTCTCTATATTCACTATTTTCCTTACGCATGTGTAAAATCAGTTTCCAACCCAATTTTCTTTGGATATTTTTGTAGAAAATGAATTTGATCTATCGCATGATTGTTAGATTTTTATAATTGTACTGAGATATAGGTATATTATATCCAGGAATATAAAACTTTGAATATTTATTTGTATAATATATTTTATTAAAATATCTCAATTTTCTTCTGATTAATTGAGCACCTAATTATCTGCGTAACTAAATAATCCCAAATGTATTAGTGCTTCGGTACGTTATTTATTATACATAAATCCTTTCTGTTAATCTATCAATTATAATTGACATTCTACTATTTACATCCTAAAGCTTTCACGTGCACGTACGTTAAAAATTCAAACCACAATTATTAGTAGTCTCCATTGAAATGTGGCGTAACTGTTCATTTATCTTCAAGAAGATTTATCAGGCAACGTTAACCCAACGACACCACGTGAAAAGCTTTTCATAAATATTTTCATTCCGTATCTGTATCACTTTCCTGTGTTTATCCGCGTTTATTCTGCTTCACGGGCGAACGATAATTTGCGGTCACTTTGCAACACACAATGGAATAGCAATATTCCGAATCGAATATAAATTCGCACGTCAATTAACCATGAAGTGGAATCTTTGTGCCACATTCGCGACAATTGTTCCCAAACGTAGAGTAACGTACATACGCTTGACCTGGAAATACGTAATTGGCGGAAAAAGCTTGATCGGTCATTACCCTGCCTAATTAATTTCGCCTCGGCTGCACGAACGCAGCTGTGATATTCATTAACAACTTTTCCGTGCTATGTAATACTCTTACCAAATGTCTTCCGCACTGTATCGAAAGATATTAAATGTAAACTTAATCAGTGTGATCATTAAAAAGTTCTACTTACTAAAACTGTACACGAAAGCACAATTATAGAAGCACAACGGTAACTAAATTTCCAAAAAATACTCAAAACATATCATTCACGCAAAATATGTTCAAACCTGCATTCCTGTAGTCGAATTACCCCAGTGCATGTAAAGAAGTTAATCCCCGGAGTTAACGCTATGGCGCTCGAAAATTTCTCATCAAAAATATTTAACTCGACGAAGTACAAACGATATTTTTTAGCACTTCGACAGATATGACACGTGAATTAAAAACAACAAATCTATTTTATTTCAATATTTCACATGTCGCATCATAAAGTTTAACCCATTCGTCCCATATGGTACACATAGGTACCACGAACATTTTAAATTACCGGAAAACTAGAAAACGCTTAGATAAAGAAAATTGAATCACATCGGTATTTTTGTTTATGGCTGACAGCTTAACTTAACCCTTCGCCTGCAATATCATGTCAGACTCGTGACAAAAATTTCAAACTGTATTTAAGAAGTCTAAGTGTTATTTATATTCTTTAAATATAAATCGAATATTACTGTTCTATTATTAATCATTAACCTTTGAAGTAAACGTAGATCTAAAATAAGCATAACAATTTTGTCGTTCCCTAAGAAATTATTAAGGATAACGATAAAGTAGTTGCATCGATCATGGCTAAGAAATAAATCATGGGGTAAAGGGTTAAGTGCTATTTGATTGATTAGTGCGCAGCTGTCTTTCTTCACAAAATTCGTATTGAAAGAAAATACGTATTCGAAGGCGAAAGGTTTAATATCTCGAGTGTAAAGGGTTGTTATTTCCTGCACAACAGTGGCAGTCAATGTGTTAAAAGGGAGAAGGTAATTGAGGAGAAGTCGTAACACCGTAAAAATAGTCGCTTTATTTTGTTCCTATTGGTACCAGCGACTACCGAATACCAACTCTAGATAGGGATTTATTGCGAGGGCAAAGGTATGCGAAAGTATAAACCGTCAGGATAAAGAGAGATTAGTGTGGTGGCACAGCAGCCTTAGGTTGTAGTCGCGGTTCGTAGTGGTGGAAGGCCAATCCTGAGTACGAGACCGAACTTGGCCAGGGTTTACCCGGAGAGATAAGTGGTCCTTGTCGGGTTCGTATGCTGGAACGGTACAGAGTTGTGCGCCGGGGTCATCCTCCGCCATTGTTTCGCTCAAACTCAAACTATCGTCCCACTAAATCGCCTGCACGCTTAACGCTTTACTTACGTCTCCTGTCCATTCTTCTTTACCTCATATATCGCTCTCGTCATCTTCTTTACTTGTTTTGCTTCGTATATAAGATATTTCTATTTAACAATAGGTCTATGGACATTTATTCTTCTGTTCCTAGAGAGTTGATGTTCGTTCATTTGGATCTTGGAAATTATATAATTAAGACACATATTCGTGCAAACGCATCAATCGGAATTTATATAAATATTTACCAAATAATGTTCATGAAACTCAATACACGTCAAATTGACGTGTCCCGTGAACCTAGCGCTCATTGGCTAATGACTTGATTATTTTGGCTGTTCCGTAATTCGGGTTAATTTGTATTAATATTAATCATACTGTAAGAGGTAAGGTGTTAAATATTCAAGTGACGCGACCAATATTTTCTATAGCGTATGATAAATTCTTTTTTTTATTTCGTCGTTTATTCATTATTTTTCTAGTTTTCCTATCATTTTAGAATGTCAGAAATTGGAACTAAAATAAGTGTAACATTAAACCTGCAATGTATTTGCTTGTCGAGAGCCTTTTATACTGTATTTACAGAACGAAATAATCATTAACGTAAATCTGGTATGGTATCGTGTTTCTTAGCATACTCGGAAAATAATATTCGTTATTCTGTATACCAAAAAACAACGTATATTCTATTAACGAGAGATTGCATTGTAGGATGAAGCAAATTTCATTGTGCATTCAGTGCATGCGCAACCCGTCGTGCGTTTATCGATAAAACAAATGTATACGTTGCCGGTGAATATCAATTCGTAATATTCCTGACTACCAGTGTCCAATAAATTATCGTGTCGCTTATTAAGAAATTATAAAGCTATTTTGTGCACATTTGATTAATCTGTACACGTTTGAGGCTCTTGATATTTCAATAAAAGAGAAATGGCGTACAGACGAGGAACATCCCTCCGACAGTCGTTTCTCGACGTTTTGGCAAGGAGATCGACAATTCTAAGCACGGTGAGTCAAAACGATACTGAATTTGTTAATTTTCAAAAGTGATTTCACTTTTCTTTGATAACATACTTTAAGTAAAATTTATTTCATATTATTAAAATTAGTCACACTATTTTTCAGAAAATATAGATCCCCCCTCTTACTGATTATTCGAAACGAGGAAAATAAAAAACAAATCATTAGATTACGATAAAGAATGTTTAAGAAATCTATTGTGATATAAAAAAATAAAGAACTTATCACTAATTATTAAATATATGTATATACTTTAGTAATTTGCATTCTATTAATTTCAACTCAACCGAATAAACCTAAAATATATGTATTTTTAAAACTGACAGTCTATAATGAATTTCAACGAAAATATCAACCGTTCCTTTTTTCTGTCAGTTTTCTACCTTCCAAAATAAACAGAAATACTTAAAGTTTAATGCATGCTATTTTATCCAATATATTTTGAAGACTATGATAGACATAAAAAATTATCACAGTGAAAGTTTGATGCCTTTGGAAAATATTAAAGAATTTTATTGAACATAAAGAGCTATTTAATTTCCATTAAAACAATTTTTTTATGTTTATTACACTTTGTGTGCTGCATCAGAAAGTAAAAAACTGAACATTACCGTTTTGAAGGTTTTTCTATCCTGAAGAAACAAAAGAAATTAGTAAAAAGTTTGTTTGAGGCCCATTAAGGTTCTCTATGAATCTGTTGTGTTAAAAAATATTGAAATTTCCTATTACTGAAGATGAAAGTACAAAAAGGGAATTTACTTCTATTTCACTTTAACCTTTACAATGCACCTAATAAAATAATCAATGTCAATGAATAGACGAACAGACTGAAAGGAAATTATCTCTTCCGAGCTGCTGTCAGACTTGTGTTAGAATACATCGAATGGTTGACAGAAGAGCCCGTGATCGAAGAAATCAGCGATGATGTGGCAGTCAATATTCGAATGGCACAGCAGAAAAAAGTGGAAAAAAAAGGTTTGTCCCCCGAGGTTAGTAAAAAATATTAGTCTGTCTTATAATTAGAACGTATTACCATTGTTAAAAATAATAAATACAAAAAAAAATATAAGAGAAACATAATTAAAATTCTGAAAATATATTTCATCATAAACAGATTCGAAATGCTGTTGCACGCATGTATGCAAATCTACGAAAAATGTATAAGATACATGCATTTCTGAGTAAAATATAACTTCATAATAAAAATATATATAACGTGAATTTATATTCGATTTATTCATATAAAATTCAATTAATGACTTTTACTTTTATAGAGAAACGAAAATCATTTATATAATGTGTTTTTATTGATAAATAAACTGAAACAAATGAATATTGGAAAAATGCTAACTCTAATGAAACGAATACAAATTAAAAATTATTTTATGTTTAAGGATCGTTCTATACTGTTGACGAAACCAGCAGAAAGAACAGCGGCAGAAAAAACGTACATATACGAATTATTCAAAAAGTTTCATGCATTCCGAAAATATCCAGATAATCTAAGGGAATCTGTAGCTCACGTGTGTCGGTATCAATACTTAAAACCTGGTCGGGTGATTGTACGACAGGGTCGTGAAGCAGAGAATCTCTATTTTATATTGAATGGAGAAGTTAATTTATCGAAGTCGGTGACAGATCGTTGGACTGGTTCGTGATATTTTGTATTAAAAATATTAGTTACTTTTAAGCTGAAAATATCCGTGCACTTGAAGCTTGTCAAAATTTGAATAGAAGTCAATTGTGTTACCTTTAACAGAATACAACAAATATAATTCTACTTTGACATATTATTCTCAATGTCCAACCTCAAAATCCTTAATTTACATATAATAAATACATTATTGTAAATAATCAATTTTGCTGTTCATCCACAATTAGGTGAGACAAAAGAAATTGATATGGGAACTTTGACCGCTGGTGACATATTTGGCGAAATTGCATTACTGCATGTGATACCAAGAACTGCAACAGTAATCACTAAAAGTACATATCATTTAAATAATTATTGTTTCTGAATATTAATCGTATTAGGTGCATTGAATAACATTTTCGATGCTCAATACACAGCAACGATAGATCTACTCATCATCCCTTGTGAACACTTCAATGCAATCCTACGACGCCATTTGTCACATGAGTGGGATATCTTACAAGATGCATTAGTACATTTTAATTATTTCAAGACCTGGGACAAAGATACCATACGGGAGTGTTGTATTCTGAGCAGAGTCAAAGAATTCAGCGCTGACGAGGCAAGAAATTTACAAAATTATGTTACCGCCACATTTCAATAGTAAAACACAGCTTTAATAAAGTTTAAATATCGAAAATTTACTTTTAGAAACAGAAAATTGCACGAATGAGGAGTTAAGAATCATAATAATGTAAATCGCATGATGCATGCCCTTCAGAAAATTTGATTCATCTCAATTACTTAAAACCCAAAAAATATTTTTTTTAATAAACACATTGTATTTAAGAGTCTGATTCAATTATAAAATAATATTTTCTATAAAAATTGAATAGAACAAATATCGCAAAAAAAGAACATCCTCCCATTTCAAGTTTTTCCTTGTAACATAATCATTCTCAGCATGTTATATGTCTGTAGTTAAGTAATGACTAATGATAGAATACTAAAAAACTTGATGTTAACGTTTCAAAAAATGCAGAAGCTGACATCGAATAAAATAATAACTATTTAAGGTTTTGCTAGGTGACGGTAAAGGAATGGTTAACTACGTCCACTTCTTATTAGAAGGCGAATGCCGTCTGATAGAACATATGATCGTATACGAGCAATCTATGTCGGATGGACGCGTACAACATAAATTGTACGACCCCAGAATATCTGAATCTATGGAAAGAGACATTGGATTATCGATAAAAAGAAAAAGCCTCAAAGAGGATCAAGTAATACAACGATGAATATTCTTTCGTAATAATGAACAAATTTTAGAAGATAATTATACACACAAAGTGGAACAAAATTATGTGTCTTGGGTTTCAAGGTCAATGTCAATTTTGCAGCAATTTATTTTAACAAATCTCCACTGACCCAAAGTACAGGATCATCTGTAAAAGCTATTACCAATAATTTTGTTACACCTCGTACCTTCAAAGCTCAATATTGCATTCAAATTATTAGCAATTAATTCTAATGCGTCCTTGCTTGCTGACCCACTAACCTGCCACATGCGCCTGTATTGGCAGATTTGTAATTAATAACTTGTAAACAAAATCGGAACTATAATTTTACTGTTCTCGATTTTCATCTTATTTTGGCATGTAATAAAATTAATTTGTCAATTGTACAATGAGTCTAATCGTACAATGTCTAATAAATAGTTTAATAACAAATAGAATCATCTTGGGAAGAAATTCACAATTTTTTTTATGTCTATTATTTTGTTTCGATTAGTAAATTTAAATTCAAATAATAAATTACCATTTTACACGACAATGAATTTAAATAAAGAAACTTGAAAATAAAAGAACATTTTTTCTTGTAAATATCACGCTGGAAAGAAAATCATTTTCAAAGGGAAACGGTTACGACAACGTTGAGGGTGAAGAAAGTGCAACGGCCTTGGAATTATTACGCATGACAGAACGATCAAAATTACTTGCTGAACGTGTCGATTTCGATCGTTCTAGCATTATTACTACCGCACTCTTAGACGTGGTAAGCACTCTCTATCTCTCTGATAGTATAATATTAATTATAAAATTCCAGCTGTAATGAAAATTTAAATTTACCATCAAGGTACACGAATGGCACAAAATTACTGATGTAGCAGAAATGTTAATGAGAGAACCATCCTCCATTTCTCAACAATGTTATCCAAAAGATTCAAGAACCATTTTTATGCAAATTTGTATATTTCAAAGAGGCGCATGTTTTGGCTTGGGTAATACTTTGGAAGGTTTCACTCTATCATTTCAGTAGGAAAAAAATTGTGATTATTCTTTTTTTGAACTCCAATCTACTATTTTTCATTATATCTTATTATAAAAACATTTGTCGCAAGTGTCATTATTAATAATAATAAAACCCAGAATATGCAAAAATCGTGAGGCAAGAAAATGCGTCCACTTTATGATAAATTCCTTTATCATAAATTTTAAACGACATGGAAATGTGTGTATAAAATATTTTTCAATAGCTCACTTCAGTTCCAAATGTTATTAAAACTAATAATAGTTATAGCTTATTTTGGTTCCAAATATTATCTAACAAACTATATAATAATAATTCACACTTACTATACGAAACGTACTGTATGAACCTAAAAATTCATTTTATATTAAAATTCAGGCGAGAACATGCGTAATCGAAGAATAATATCTACGTCAAACGTACGATGTTTCCTAGTTCCGAGATACTTTTTAAACGAACATAGTCGAGCGAATATTTGGGAACACGTAAAGCTCTTTATGGACTCAAAGTACCCAACGAGGGAAGAGTTGTTCGAAAAATTCGTTCGTAATCGAAAGTATGTGTCAATATAATCTTTTCTACTCAGAAGTAAATAATTTTATAATAATAAGTTCCTTTTGATTAGAAATGATAATTTCAATTTTTCATTTAATTTTATAATACTAATAATAAACACAAATTTTGTATTTCTTAGGTGGAGGGAATACAAAAAACATTTGTTCGAGACAACTCGCAAACGAGGCCGACAAGTTTGTAGCAACGTAACAGTACATGATGTACCGTATTCCATTAGAATCGAAGATGACGTGGGATTATAACAAAAATTGCTTAGTTAATTATAGAAGGTTTTATTTTACAAACTTTTAATCGTATAAAAACAGTGTAAGATTAGAAATCTTCTTGTTCGAGAATCGCCATAAAAATCCTGTATACAAACTAAAATATTTTAACAATATTAAAACGTTACACGCTACACGTCTTTGGTCATAGTACATCTCGATGAATTTTTAAAAAATTCGTTTCTCCTCTCGGATCGGTAACACTAAACCCTGTGAAAGAACTCACAATACATTTGAGTATTAGGTACTGCTTAGCAAGTTCGTGTTTACGCTTGTTTAGCATCTCGAATTTCTGGTTTAGGTATTGAATATTATTTTTTCAATGCCGTTGTTACTGTTCAAAGCGATTTAAATGATTTATTTGCCGAGATTGTATCTATAACAAGTAATAAGTACATCATTAAAAGCTTCTGCATTCGACACTATTATTATGTATATCTCCGTAATATTAGTTTCTTGTTTTTTTGTACATTTGGTCAGCTAAAAATACTATTACAATGTAATTTCTTAGTTAAAATGTATCATTAATACGCATAGCACAATATCGTAAATATATTAACCTAAATGATTCTTCCCATTTCATGAAAAATTCGAAGACGTGGCAACGATTTGGAATCATTTCGTAAATTTTACGTTTCAACGACTTCGAAGTTTCATTGAAGAAGTGTTTCTCTATAAAAATATCAATTTTATGCTGGAGAAAATGAGTCAGTCCGTCGCAACGATATTTACAAGGAAAGTTAAACAAGTGATACATTTGCTCAGTGAAAAATAAACGATTTTGCTGCACTTTTAACATATGTTTCTCAGAAAATTGTCCGTTTAAAAAATATCTTTAAAAATCCGCAGAAACACGTTATGTTCACACAAATTTTTTAAATCATTTTTTAGTCATACTAAAAGCGCATTGACATCTGGATGTGTCGTTTATTTGACTTTTCTCGTTATTGATGAGTTTTCGAGCAAACATTCGAATGCGTTCCAACCTATAGTGAGTAACATTTGTAATATTTGCAAACGATTAAGAAGATCGTGACAATTTAAATATTATACGCAGACGTCACGAAAATGTATTTTGCCAATGCAAATAACTATAGTTCACTAGGTAGTAAATGTAATAATAAAAAAAAATGAAATCGATAATTTAGATAGATTTTCAAAGCGGAATATTACAAACTAATATAAACTATAAAACAATTTTCAATATTTTAAAAAATCAAATGTTTCCATTGCATAGAAATTTCGTAACATGCAATTTCTATCTTGTTTTACACTCTGTAAATATACACACATACATGTGTGAACACAGTCGAATACAACGAGAATAAATCACTTTAAAAAAAGTGGATTGCGCCATACTTGCATCTTGTTATATAACAATATTTTAAATATATTTTATTATCAGTATAACAATTAAACAGTGCAAGGCACTCTTGATTGATAAATGAACAGCGATAAGGCAATTTTAAGATGTACAAATATTCCGTTATTAGGAGCACCGTAGAAAATCACTTTAGTACAAACAATATATATTAACCATTGCGTTAATGTTAAAAGTCATTTTCCAATTGACTTTGAAAATTGAATAATTAGCCATGCTATTAACCATAGTTTAAGACACTCGTTACAAAGCTTCAAGAACTATCAAAAACCTCAAAAATCAAATGCTCGTGAATCCAGATAATATTCAAGTTTAATTATCTCGAGACAACCGTACGAAAAAGCTACATTTTCTCTGAATGTATTTATAGAATCATCTTAAAAACTCTGTCATTTACAACGTGTACGAACACATTATCTGAGTTGATCTTTCATTAAACATTTTGTTCATATTCCTCTCTGTATTACTTAAAATTAGAAAGTCCGATATTTCCTTCCCTCCAACGAAACCAACAGCACACTGTTACGCGAACATTTCATGGCACAGTGGAATTAATCGGCAGCTAAAATGTACAAACCAATTTTCCCTTGCATCACACGATTTTACACTCATAAGTCCAAGAGAACACGTACACAGACTCGCTTACATTAAACCCCAAACCTGCACTATTCGTCCCAGAAAATTCCAAAAATTCCAAAAGCGAAGAAACTTTTTGACACTTCAAACCTTGGTCTGGTCTAACTCTCTATTAATCATTATCACGTAACTGGGATTGCTGAATCCGTCTGGTAGGTCTTTCTGCAGATCCATCTTCTGCTTCGGCATGTTCACATAATTGTCCTGTGTCCTGATGATCGGTGAAGTGAAATCTTTCTTGGTCGTTGGATTCGAATTAACCTCCGACTTCTCCAAGCTTTCGTTATTCTTTTTATTTAGATCTATCTCTTGGAGGTTCCGTGGTGTGTTGCAGTAGCCAGAATCCCGATTCGTTTCTCCGTCCTCTGATCGATCCTCTGTTTGATTGTTCTTCCTAGCTTGCCAGTTTCTAGCGAACTCCGCCCTCCGTTCGTGAATGTTGATGGGTTTTAAATAGGGCTCGTCATCTTCCACTTTCTTTAACATCGGTGACATTTCTGAATCTGATGTCGGACTCGGGAAATCGAAATGCGACCGTTCTTGACGGGGCCTTGGACTGAATATGCCTGACTCGTTCTTTTGGCTTCTCGGGCTCATGCACAGATACTCTGAGCCCCCTGGATTCTCAAGTACAGGTGAATTCACGTATTCGTGGGTGGGCGATGAAAGCATCGCGTGATCGGGAGCAGACAACATTGTCAGGTAGTCGTTCTTGCCATTTCCTAGTAGCATCGTGTTCATGTCCAGGTAAGGAGCATTCAGGCTGATGTAATGCTGAAATCGACAATTGGGGTTAAAACGGGGCTCGTCGTGATTAGATTAATACTGAAACTACCGAACGGGTCAAATTGGCACACTTCAGAATTTTGTTCATCAGAAATTCGTATATTTGCACAAATACAAGACTAGAATTACTCATCGAATCTCAAGAAACACATTCTTCTAATTATTATAAAAAATTGGAGATAAGTTTCAAAATAAATCTGATTGCTCAGTAGTTTTAGTGTTAACATTGAATTTACGGAATACGTCGGGTGTATGCATATTAAATTTTGTAAACGTTATTTGATTAACGTTTATGTTTATAAGCACACTGTATAATAAACGTCTACAAACTTAGTTGATATTATGGTTTGATTGGAATTAGTTAATTACAGAAATAATATTATATGTTCTACGTTGGCCTGTAGAAATTTAAATTGAGTTGATGGTTGATTGGCCCTTTAGAGAGAAGTTTTCACGTCCCGAATGTAAACATGGATTTTTATATGTTAACGTTTGTAAATAAAATTTTATTCTACTTTGAATATAATAATGAATAGAGAAGCTATAGTTTATATTGCAATATGCATTTATACATGAATTTAATATAGATAAATTATTCTGAACATTCAGACAGAAAATGAAGGAATAATTGGTGTACTTACAGCTCTCACACTTTCCTCCAGCAAGTCTCCTATACTCTCGACTAATTCCGTGAAGCTTGGGCGAAGAGTAGGCTTGGCCTTCCAGCACTGAAGCATTATGTCATACCTATAAATTAAAAATTGCAAAGTATGAGTCTTTAATTCCCAATTACCTTTCGTAATGCATTATGCATCCGTTTGTGTAATTGAAGAGACGTGATATGAAATTTTTTTGCTCCAATCGAAAGTACAACAGATTTCAATAAACTTATCGCGTTATAGAGAACTAATTATACAAATTTAATACACAAAATTGATTAGAAATAAAAATGTTTTTCCCCTTAATTTTGAACAAAGATTTACTGTAAACTATAGTCTATTAAAAAAACTTACACTTCGGGAGTGGCGTATTCAGGTTGCTCCATCCTATAACCTTCGATCAATTTCTGATACTGTATCTCCGCTTCCATGCCGGGATAAGGTGTCTCAGCCAACGTGAAAAACTCCCATAGAACTATACCGAAAGACCAAATATCCGATTGCGTAGAGAAAATTCGATCTCTGATCGATTCGATAGCCAACCACTTGATGGGCAATGGACCATCGCCTTTCTTTTTGTAATTGTCGTCCTTGTATATAGACTTGGCCAGACCGAAGTCGCAAATTTTCACTATGTTATTCTCAGCCAGCAGAATGTTTCTCGCAGCCAAATCGCCGTGAAGCACCTGAAAATTAATGATTAAACAACGATTAGTTGTTACAACATTTTTGCAACGACTCTCTAGTAATTCGTAATTCTTGACATTATAATTATATTAAGTATATAAATCAGATGCATTAACGTTTGGAATAAATTATTTAGAAGAATGACATTAGGGAATTCAAGTAATACTTTATTCTTCATTACTGAATTCTTATGAGCAATAATTCTGCCTCAGTCTTCCTTCATTCATAGATCAATAGTTTGAAAATAGATTAAAATAAAAAATATAATAGTAACAATTTTTAAATATTTATGGTTGATAATTATTACGCATATATTCAGTATAATGCTTGAAACCAATAAAGTAATTAACAATTAAAGAAAAATAATCTAATATAATTTAATTGATGTGTAATTACTTTGCCACATTGTATCTACTTATGTATGCATAAAAAAGCTTACTTATCTCGATAGAAAATTAATTAATTAATTAATCAAATAAGAATTAATCACGCCCACCTTTCTCTGACAGAGATACTCCATTCCACGAGCTACCTGGAACGCCCAGGATAACAGATCCTGTGTGCAAATTGGTTTTAAATTGTAGTCCTTGTAGTCCCCATGATAGTTAGATCTCCATCCCGGTTGAGTGGAATCATTACTAAGGACGAGGCCATCCGGTGATACACTGACACCTTGAGAATCTGCAGTTGTACCTTGATACTGCACCGAATCAGTTGCTGAATTACGGTTGTTACTGCGAGAAAATGACAATTCCGCATATTTTATCCTATCGTGCAGACAGAAGAAAACAGAAGAGCCGTTAGCACCGCTACCCCTTGCATGCACCAATATTTTTTATGGCGTTATTGACAGGAAGCGCGAATAATTGTATCACAATGCAGTAAACAGTAGTAATGAATTTGTCATTAAATAATTATCCAACTTGAAACTTATTTAATCTGTATCAAATTATATTTATTAAATGAATTTCATTAGGTGACTTTTCGCGTTTGGGAAAGACTTTTAAAGAAGAGTGAAATTTTTAACTTTAAATGTTGCTTCTTTTTTGAAAGTAGAAGGACCTTTAAATCTTTGATACGTAGATAAATTTTTGTATTAAAATTATACCGATAAGAATGTCCTATGAAGGAATTGTTATAAATTGTACCGTTCCGTCAGAAAGGAATCGTTTGAAATAATTAATGATAAATTCAGTTACTGAACTTTCGAGAAAAATTCTCTATTTACTTACTCTTATCTTCTTGCTCGCGCACATTATACAATAATTTATTTGTAAAGGTAAGAAAACGTGTTAAATTATGATACTAGTGAATCTTCATGACATTTTGACATTCAGAGATAGTAGGGTTATTATAAAACGTGCAAATCACTGTTTAATTTTGCAATGACATCTAATAGATTTCTTTTTCCAAATATTTAATAATCATACTGTTATTCACAACTAACATGAACCACAACAATGAAAAATAAAGGATCAAACCTGTTATTACTGCACACGCTGACAGTCCTCGTCAGAAGATCGGCACCAATATTAGGATCAAATTTACCAGTTGCTGGATCAATCTGATTGATAAAATCGCTCCTATGCCTCAGTAAATAATTGTGCAAATTTCCAAATCGACAGTACTCAACGATTACTAAGAGTTCACCTGATGAATTGCAACAGATTATTAAATAACATTTGACGCAACATTGGGTATTAAAAACAACGTAATATCTAATTACCTAATAATAGAAATGATAAAAATAAATATGTGTATTAATAATTCTGAACTTCAATTGTAATGGAGAATATTTACAGTAATCCGCGTAAAACAATATTTAATTCTGTATAAGAATCAGTACCTCTCAACGCTCTATGTAAATATGAAAAATGAATAAGACAATCGAGGAAGAAAGCAATATGTATTAAAAAAATTTTCGAAGGAAAAACAAAAGCTTTATAGAATTGATGTAGATAAATTTATGGTATTCTCTGAACCTTTCATTCGATGAAAACTAAAGATCTATGTTTCTAAATAATGATAATGACCGAGTCGAAGTTTTTATGTTTTTAAGAATGAATCAGTTTAACAGTAAATATTTAACGACTGACGTAACTGACGCGTGACAGGATACTCACGTTTGGAAATATTTTTCGTGCAAGCACCAAGAAGATTGACAACGTTCAGGTGTTTACCAAGGTGTATCATGATCTTTAGCTCGCTGGCGAGTGCACGAACGTACGTGGCATCAGTCGTACGGCGAACCATCTTCACCGCTACAGTGGTAACCGCCTCGTCTTCGCAAATCCCTTCAGCTTCGGCTTTTACAACGACTCCAAACGCACCGCTACCCAATTGCTTTCCTGTTGAACGTTATCACATAATGTATAAACAACGAAAATTTTAGACGGAGCATTGTTTTGTATTCGACCGGAATTTTCTTAACGTAGTATCACTCAACAGTTGCTCCTAATTACTACACTAAAGAAAACAAAGCGATAAATTTGTAAAATTTGTATAGTTAACTTGTAGGGTAGACCGAGGGAACAGGATCATGAGGGAAAACGAATACAAATACGAAAAGTACACCTTCGCTTCACTTAATCCAGTACAAAGGCACAAATCAAGGATGACGGTGTCCAGAAACAGTAAAAGACAACAATAAGAATTAACTCCATCGAACTGACTATGGGTCAAGCTCCGAAAATTTATCGCATACCTTGTATAATCCTACAAAGAAGACTTACTTCTCGAATAATTAAAACAAATCAATTTTTACATTTGACACCACTTGTCAGTAAAATGATACTTCTTACAAAATAACAAGAGAAGTTAAAAACTAGGTCAAAGAAGAACACTATTAAGGGAAGGATGAAGAGTAATAAGGACCGATGAATTACTAACAAAAATAATAACATAAAAAAACTTATAACACGAAGTTTTTTTAAGTTCATTAATAATTTTTTTTTACTAGTATTGAAGCTGAATACCTATGAATAAGAAATCTGTGAAAAAAATATTGTCTCTAAGTTTTAACTATTAATTCTTTGCTGTTAAATCTGAACCGGTCCGATTCGCCTCGGTCTACCCAAAAAGTAAAATTTGTAAAATTTGTAAATTTTATTTGTAAAAGAAAAATTTGTAAATTTAGCTTGTAAGAGTCGCTGAATATGTTGAAATTAAAAGTATCCAAAAAATTCTTCATTCTTTAAATTTTGGATATTGTGAATAGAAGGTACTAATAGTCGAAGAAAGCATAGTTAAGTTGTATATGTTACAGGATAGATAAAATATTAAAAGACAAACATTTTTTTAATAGAATATAATATTACCCAATTTTAATCTTTCGCTGGGAAATTCCCACTTTTTATCGTAAGGAAGTAAATCCGCTTGATCATCCACTGTTAACTCTGGATTCAAGCATTCGACCGCTCCTTCCACGAAGTGCATTAATCCTGCATCTATCAACTGCTTTCTCATAGTCTGAGACATTAAAAAAATTGTTAGAATCAATTTTTTTATTATAAAAGAGCGACGTGTAATTCCGAAAGTTGAAGTTACCTTTTCACGACGGATCTTGATGATGAAGTAGATCATCATAATCAATGCGGAAATAACTACGATGACGATTGAGACGATTAGTCCTATTGACTGTTCTTTTCCTGAGAATTACGAGCAAAATGGTGAATTCGAAAAAACTGAGTAGAAAAATTATATATATTATTTATATTATTTGTATTATTTGTATTACTTGTATTACTTGTATTACTTGTATTACTTGTATTACTTGTATTACTTGTATTACTTGTATTACTTGTATTACTTGTATTACTTGTATTACTTGTATTACTTGTATTACTTGTATTACTTGTATTACTTGTATTATTCGTATTATTCATATTATTTATTATTTTTCGATGTAATATATTTATTACCTTTTACTGTTATTAACTGAGAAGCTTCTAATTTTCCTACGCGATTTTCCACTCGGCACGAGTATTTGCCACTGTCGCTTTCCATCAGATATTCTATTACAAGCACTTGGTTGTTCTGAAGGCACTTGAACTGTTCGCCAGTCACCAATTTTGCTCCATCCTGTCAAATGATACTAATTAGAATTAATTACTTGCTCTCCGCAGTAGCGTTCAAAACTGACAACAGAATCGTAGATATTGATGGATACACTTCTATACAAGCGTTTAATTTGGCAGTTTGTTTCACTTGGTAATTATTATAACTTTAACAAATGCTTTCTTAAAACCTGAAACAATTGTCTCACAGAGTAATTTGATATGTTTAAAAATCAATATAAAATGACATTATAAATATGATTCATCCTACAAAGATCCACAATTATAAATTGATGTATAGTTTATAAAAAATGACAAATTTTAATTCAACAATTATTGATATTTATAATATCAAGGTAATTAAAGAACTATCGATTTCTACGAATTTACTTGAAGATTCTTACGATTTAATTTTAATTTAGTACATACATATGTAAATTATTTTCAATCCCCTTTGAATAATTAATAGTACTTACCTTATACCAAGTGACGTTTGGTTTAGGCATACCATCCGCGACACATTTAAGACGTACGCTTTTGTGACCTTGAGAGAGAAAATCAATAACCATTTCTTTCTCTTGCAGATTGACTTCAGTAAAGGAAGGTGCTCGTGCGACTAACATAAAGAGAATTATAAAATATAGAGTCGCTTAACTTTCTCAATAATTTAATAAAGTATATGGATAATTACCGTCTACATTCAAATGATATTGTGCACTCTCTGGCACAGAGTCCATAGTCCGTCCAGTACAAACGTAAACCTTCGAATCCTCTCTCCTTACGTTTTTTATCTTCAGAATTGATCTATATGTATATTGCGTCTGACCTTTATGAATGGACAATCTATCTAAAAATTTCGAATAAAGAAATTACAAGCACATTTCGATTGCTTTCTTGAGGCAGATATCAATAAACAGCGGGCATGGAACGAGTCTATATAAACTACGCTTGTTTTTATAATTATTCGATGAAAAAGTAAACTTTAGAGAACACGCGATTTTTAAATGTTAAAAATAAGATTACTTGTTTCTATAATCGACGTATCGTTTTCATCGGACCATGTAAAAGAGCTCGAATAATTGTAAACCGAGGAGGCACAAATCAATTCCAAATCGTCGCCTTCGACCACAGGTTCCTTTGGGTCAATTATACCAAATCCATCATTTCCATCTAATGAATTAGAAAATACAACATGATATTAAAAACGAAACAAAACTAAATAATAAAAGAAGAAAGAACAAGACTGAAAATATTCTGACGAAACTAGGATATGTCCCGATTCGACAAGCTTTCTACAGATGTATAACAAAAGTATTCAAATGGTAAAATCTTATGATTACATTATCCAAATTAATTGTTTATAAGTTGAGTCGATAGTGATTGACTTTTTCCATTTCCTACGTATTCGGCTAAATATGATATTTGTGTTATCGTACAGTAAAACCTTCAATGTGTTGCTATTCGAATGCTTTAGTATATAAAAATCTTTATATGCTTTCAAGTTCTGAAACTCTGAAATGTTGAAATGATACTTTTCTTACCAGATACGAGAAGGTTTTCGGTCGCTGAATCACAGCCAAGACTGTTGCACGCCGAGCAGGTAAGTCTTCCAGACGAATCAATGATTATTGTTGCGTTGGAGCGGAACGAATTTACTTGTATCGGCACCATTGTACCCTATATAAATGTTTTTTTACTCAATTTATTTAAGCTTGTTTAATTTTATTGCAATTCGTTTAAATTCATTCCAATTTACTTAAATGTATTTAAATTTATTTAAATATACTTAATTTCATTTCTTAATAGAGCAAGCACATGTGTAATTGAGAAAAAGCATTTTACCATTAAAGTCACGGTTTCGCCACCTTCGCAAGACGGATAGTTAGGACACTTGATGAAACTCCAAGTAATATTTGGCTGCGGAAACGCTGCCACATAACATAAAACATCTGCTTCTTGATTAGGTGCGTAATACGATTTCAGATGAGGCAGCATCGGTATTGGCTTAGCTAAAAAATGGATTTTTAATTAAATTAAAGAATTAATGGTAACAAACTCATAAGAAATGCAAAATTACACGCACTGTTTTACTTGAATGCGTATCCTTAAACGTTAATTACATGTTACTTTTGAAGCACATACTTTACTGTCCACAAAACATAATTTGTATGTTGTTACACATATGAGTACGAATGAATTACGTTCAAATGCAGAACATAGATTTTAAAGAACTCCACACGTATTTGCCTGTTTAATTATTATTATCATGTTTGTCAATGAATACTATGTATTAAAGTTTAATAAACGTAAACGATTTTTCTCAATAAAATAGTTTTCCGCTTAGTCGAAGTATGCATTTAAACTTCAAATAAATAATGAGTAAACTTGAAACGTTTGAATCCAAAAAATTTCAAGTGTACACGTTCTAAACATTAAGCAAGAAAAGCAGCGTACTTAACACGTCTAACGTGAAATTCAGTATTTCGGATCTGTCCTCGTTAATGGCTTGGATGGAGTATACTCCCGAGTCATCGAGACTTAGATGGTTAATTTTTAACACCGCCTTAGAATCCGTAATTTTAATCCCATATTTCGCTGTGTTCGATGGCGGCCAAGTTCCTGTAATTTCGTGGCCCTTTGGATTCAACCTGTGGAGCAAAAATAATGAAATAATAGAGTTGCGACATAGAATATACATAAATCTGAAAAATTCTTTCGCAATACTCTTGGTACTCGATTAATATGAAGAAAATAATTAACGAAATATGAATAATCACAAGAAAAATAATTAAGTATGTTCTTCCTTAAAGAAACCCCAACGATATAAAGTTACTCGAATATTTTTCACTTACCATGTAATCCGAGGCTGAGGATAGCCCTTCACGCTTACGACCCACTGTACTGAACCATCGTAATCAGCACGCACGTGTTTAACAGGATCTTGAGATGTCAAATTGATAAATTTATGTTGCGGATCTGAACATTCGAAAAATAAAAATCGTAGGAATTAAAAAAAAAGTGTAATAATTCTTTTATCAGTAGTAAGTATTTTCGTGAATGCAAAAAATAAAAAATTATTAACATAGTTTACCTACATACCAAGTCATTATGTCACTTATTTTAGTAATATGTTATGTAACAGTTATACAGAAAAATAACAGTTCCAATCAATAAAATACATTGGAACATGTTTTCTTACTTCTTTTCCCCAATATACAACGAAGAAATAGTATGGCATAAAATAATTAACACTAACACTAGATGTATCAAAATTACTCATCCCTGATTGCTTCTTTTATAATTATTGAAAAGATTGACTGTTTTCTTCCGAAGTTTTTAAGCGAATTGTTACAGTAACAAAAATTAGAATCGCAGTAAATAGACTTTTATGGTCTCTATGAAAAACACGGAAACTAATTGATTTGACTGCTCGTTAATTCTAGTGTTAGAGCTGTAAAATATTTATTTGACGCTGAAACTAATGATCACAGAGTACTATAATTCTACTGACCATGTACCTCGATGTATTTCTGTGTTTGTTTATGATTATTGTAATTCCGGATGGTGCAATTGTAGTAGCCTTCATCTTCCTCGGTCACGTTCCTTATCGTCAACTCGTTCGTGATCCTCTCTCTGTTCCCTGAGTCATGTAGATCGGTCTTGTAGAAGCGGGTCGTTATCCTGCTGCTCTATAATATTGAATTGCCGTGTGTAAAATTTGAATCAAACACGCCCTGCAAACGAAACTTGTATGCAGAGATCGATACCTGATGCGGGGGGCTCCAATCGAGAAGATACTGCATGCCCACATCAATAATTACGGTACAGTTCACGTACAGAGTTTGACCCCTTGTCACGTGCCGCACAGAATCCTCGATGATTTTTGGCTCGTCCAGATCAAATGTGGCTAAAACACGTAACGGTAAAACATCGTAAGTGACAGAGAACAGTGAAATTAATTTTAATGAAAGCAATCATTAACCAGTTAACTGCGTTCGACGTGTATACACGTCATCTTAAAACGCAAAATGGTACTAATTTGATCAACGATAAATTATTCATTTTTTCAGATAAACGTGTAATTCTTCTTCGTTCTGCTTTAATTTTTCGTTAGAATATATTGTAGATGCATTTGCTCTGCGTTTGACGAGTATACATTTTATTATTTGATTTTAAACTAAATTCCACGGTTAACTGCTTAAAATAAATAATGATAGTCTTAATTAAAAAATATTATATATACCGTAATAAAACAAATTAAATTCATAAAAAATATTAATATTAAATAACTATGTTCCTTATGAAATTGTAATTTGTTTTCGATAAATATTCTCCTAGTTGAATTCAATAAAGGCAGCGTTTAATATTTAAAAAAAAATAAAGAATATTATTTCAAAACAATAACTTTGTTATTTACAAAATACATATATATTTATTGATTTTAGAAGGACAGATTTAAAAAGATATTCATCTGTGATAAAATAGTATAATAATGAGCTATAGGATTAATATTTATAAATGACGAAAAAAAAATACATATTAACGATGTATATAAAATCTGTTCTTCTGAATGGTTACTACTGTACGAACACATACGTGTGAATATGGAAATAGTGTAACGAGAGTTTCGTGATGACAGAATGAAACGGACTTCGTTTGAGAGACATACTTACCCATCACGTTTAAATAATAACCGACCTCCTGAGAAAATCCGTCTAGTTCTGTTCTGCATGACAAGGCTTCAGAGTCCAGTATCGTAAGGTTCGTCAGTATAAATCCAATTCTCGGATCAAAAGTAATTCTGCTTTCCTCATACCTGACCTGCATAAATGATTTAATGTTTACAACGACGTGTATACTTATACATTGTTTAAGGTATAGTAAATTGTTGAATGCTATCAGTAGACTGTGAATCTTTATGCAAATTCAAATATTTAAGAACGTAATTATTAAAATAGAATTAATATATAAAATAAACCTTTTCTTTATTAAGTTTTACCTAAAAATAATCCCTATCACATTTTATATATTTTCTAGTATCCCCTGTATTCTGTGCAATTTTACACTTCAAAATTTCCCATGAATGCATAAAAATAAGCAGTCTAATTATTTGGATTGTTGATCACGAAGATACTCCGTAAATTGATCTGCACGTATAACACATCATTTTCCATAAATTTTTTGAATACATTATAAATTTATAACAATTCTTTTGAGATTCTACGAGTCCTCTTCTTTGAGTAATGTATTTTTAATTACTTTGTTAATCCTTTTGAAAACATATTTGCATCATATTTAAGGGACTCTCACGATGACATTAAATTTATTGTTTCGTTGGTCTCAAAATTATGTACATCGCAAACGTTAAATTTAAAGGACTATTTTTTAAAGAAATCTTTTACACTCGTTTCTTATGCTTTACCGAATGCTACTCTCTTTTAGGGCAGGATAATCAACAAGTAAGCCACGTTCAATGTTTTCTTAGATTACAACATAATACTTGCACGTATATTTTAATAAATAACATTACTCTCTCATGAAGCGCCGTCTCTAGTTTGACAGTCAAGTTCGGCGATGTTGGCCTGCACGGTATAACGACAGTTCCTCCTGAAATTTCGTGTAGAGTCTCGAACGAAACATTTTCCGCAAATAAATTCGTTTTAGCTGAAACATAACAGTTACATAAATTACTCTACACTGATTTCAAGAGATCTTTGCAGGCATAATTCGATTAGCTAAAACTGTACTTCCTTGTCAAACCGTAAGAAATATGAACATTGAAACCATGGCAAACACAATTAAAAATTTCACAAAATTATTTGAAAATGAATTCTTTAAAATGGTCTCTTTTATTAAATGTATATAATGTAATATATTAACCACTTGCCCTGCAATTTATTTCTCAGCTGTGATCGAAACAACTGCTCTATCATTAATAGTTTATGGGGAAAAAGAGGCAAATTCTAGACATATCCTATGTCCACGTTTGCTCTAAAGTATCATAATTAATAAGAGAAGAAATAATATTTCATTTGAATTCACAGGAACTGAGTAATATTTATGTTTGTTAAATATTACTGAAAATACTCACCACGAGTCTCACACTTTATTGTAAGGCAAGGGGTTAACAAATTATTATTAATATAATATAATTAAATTTGTTATTAATATAATAACAAGTTATTATATTAATAGTTTTATAATACAATATAAATAATTATTTTTTACTTTAACCAGTAAATTCATATATATTAAAAATGAATATATTTAAGTGCCACGTGCATTTTGTGATCTTGGAGTAAGCGTTGCGTTCTCGAACATAGTCCTTTTACCAAAAGAATCTCCAGGGACAACGTCCACACGTTTAAGACAACGCAAGATCGAACTGCTTGCCGATCTCAACTTTCACTTGCCACTGTCTTATAAACATTCTTGTGACGATACTTGGATGACCTAATCTGGCCACTGTAAGTCGGTAGCTCTATTTACTTACAAGGGAACGTAACAACCTGGCAAACTTTGGTTGAAAGTAGTTATTGGAAATATATTTGATATATATTTTTTAGTTGGAATTAATGTTCATCAATAGGAACGTATTGAAACAGTAAAAACAACCTCCGTATCTGGAAATAAGAAACACATTTAACCTCTTCTTTACCAAGAACGAGATACCTTGGGATGCATTGTTGCTCATATTTTATGGACGAAATATCTCGTCAAACAATTTCATTTATGAAATGCTAATGCCTAAGAAAATTCTAAAAATTCTTATTGAAAATTAATATAATTAAATAAATTAAAATAATTATTGTAAGATTGTATAAATAAATTAAATAATCTATTAATAGTGAATTAGGATTTTATCTACCTCAAATAGATTCGAATGAATGTGTTTCTAAAACTGTTTTCACCATTCCGATGTAAACAATAATCAACTAAGGAATACGTCAAATATCTTCTTAAAAATCAGTTTCTAAACTTTGTTAATACTAGAACTATCGAGTACTTACAATTAGAGAGACTTGTTCGTAATTTCTTATAAAAATTCGAAGAGTACATTCCTTGAGTTTTCTCTCGAAAACTTCTTTATACTTTCAATAACAGTGAAATAAATAGATCATTTTGATCTATTCGACAGTCCTAATATTAATTCTAGAGGATGTCTCTACGATTTCTTTCTTTGTTAGTCTTACGCACCGCTTTTGTCAACCTTGCACTAACGCCAACCCTCGCAACAAACATTGATGCTGACACGTAAACTTCTGCAGTTTAGTACGAATCAGAAATACACGTACATTGAACGTAAACGTAGGTCCAGCTAATATATGGATCACTGTCAGATGGGCTGGTGACAGTGGTCTGATGATCCGAGCATCCATACCAGCCGGTGTCACCGTAAACAGTTTCCGGTCGCTGTAGCAAAGCCCTGTAGGTGCCATCTTCATCTTGAGTCTGATTTATATACACAGCTGATGTGTTCAACTGTTATTAAAACATGTATTAGAGTCAACATTTTGCAATGTTACTGTCACACTATTAATACGTGGATTGCTGCAAAAGTCTGGGAAAGTCACAAATAAGTTTGAACAGTTTTATTGTTTTTCAACATATTCTGCTTCAACATTAATACATTTTCTATTGTGCTGTGCCAACATTTTCTAACTTTTACACTAAATTTACGAAACGCGTCAATGTGACGCATATTGAATTTTATAAACATTATTTGGTAAATGTTTGTATCGAGTTTGACTGATGTAATTACATGAACGTGTACCTTAATAGTCCACTTTTAAATCCCTAATTTGCGAGATCTAAACAAACGAACTCCAATGTCTCTAGAAGCAATAGAATAAACTATATAATAAACAAATTTTTAAAGCGCCTTTAGGCGCTAACAGCCGTCAAAGAGTTAAAAATGTAAAGTTTTCATAAAATAGCATAAGGCTAGAAATGGTAGATTTCCGAAACTTCTGCAACAATCTACATACCTTACTTACTTTATCCCCTGAACTGATAGGATAAGTAAAATAGATCACGTCATCGTTCTGGCATTCGACTTCCAAAGGATCGCCCTCATTTTTAATAATTTCACGAATTTCCGTCGGCGTACTCGTTCTTAAGGCTGTAGAGTCTGGGAACAGGAGAAGGAAATCTCAGTTTCCTGTAATTAGTAATTAAACATAATTGGATACTTTGATTCACGATCATTTAATAGGAATTTGTCTGCTTTACTTGTGACCAAAGCTGGAGAAATACGGAAATTTTGTTTATTCACTTTTTTGTGTTAATGAGAGATGATCTGGTGTCCTTTGTAATCATATTCACAATATACTTGTAGATACAGTATTAGAGAAACAGGTTTACTAAGTCTTATTTAAGCTTACAACGGTTTTGAAAGAACGCGACTATAAAAAGCGCATTCCGGGAATTTATTTAATTAACAAACGCCAGCAGTTATCGGTAGCGTACACATAAGTAACTTAACTTTCGCTAACAATATGTATGCGGGTCTATACATATATATACATTATCTTGATGAAACCGTAATATTAATAGTAACCAATTATTTTTTTCTTTCCTTTTCATTCGAAACAATAGTTGCATCTCTATCAATAAAGATAGAGATCTAATATTTTCTGTAGATAAAAATTAATTTATTTCTAAATTTCATATTAATCGTATAACTATTTTATTTTCCTTTTTAGGAATACGTACGAATTATTAATATATTAACGTGATCTTACAACGACATATTACATCTCAAGGATCTCAAGGACTTCTATTTCAAATTAGATTATTTCATTCCTATGTTCTACCATATGTGTCATTTCCAACAAAATACTGAGAACTTCAACTCCAATGTTTGAAGAACGATTAACGGCACACTATAAGGAGAAAAAGTTATCATTATAGCCGCAATGTCCTGCGGATGATTCGGTTTTATTCTATTCTTTCCGCAACTGTTCGCCGTGAAAACCACGCACTGCCAGTTTCGTTTCCGCGCAAATATGAACGTCTGTAGGAAGGAAGTCCTTTCTTTCCTCTACTGATAGCGCAGCCGTATTATCAGCCAGCGGGCTCGTTTCACGCGGAAAATAAATATGTAAATGAATTAAGTGTGACCATTTGCGACAACTTTTTGATAGGGTCCATAGCTCGTTTCATGATTAATTGGTAAAAATCCATGGACGTTTGGTCCAAATTTTAATTAGATATTTTTCGACTCTATTAAGACAATTAAAATGAAATAAATCTTTGTTACATTACTCGTATTATTTATTATAAAATTTGTATTTCCTTTTATTAAAGATTTCTTCAAGTAGGAAAATGAAAAAGGATATCCTTTAAAATACTTTTCAAACTTTCAGTTTCTTAAGTTCTTATTATGAGAAATATATGTTGCGATATAAATACGAGCATATCAAACAAACTTACATGACCAAGCATGAAGTTTATGCTTAGGTGAGATAGTGGATGTATAGACTAAAAATTCATCTTACAGTAAGTTACAATAATTATACTTCTTGCGGTAAACCGATCCGAATACAATCTTAAAAAATGAAAAATCATAAGACGTGAAATTTACAATCCATCGAATACTATTCGTGTTCAATTCAATATTCGTGCCAAAAACTGGTGGACTAATTATTGAAACAATTTCTTATAACTTTATAACCCATTAATTATCATTAGCATGGCTAACAAAAGGAAACTTACATTAAATGTTATTTTTAAGAACTATTGGACCGAAAATTTACATTTCTGAAATACTCATTTGATTTAATAACGTTTAGCAGTGATTTCAAACATAGTTTTAATAGCTTTAAGCTAATACTTGAGACATACTCTGCAGCCTCGGTATTTCGACAAAGAATTAATTCATAGCAAGGACGTTATATAATTGACGCGAGGGTAAAACAAGTGTTTTGATATCCAACGTTTACATGAAATCGTGGGACCGACATATTAGGAAGCCGTGATAAGGAGTGGCCAGCCTACTACCAGCAGAAGATACACGATTTCTCCCTATCGGAGACGAACACGCAGATTACTATTGGTGAACTAAATAGGAAATTCATAGAAACGGGGTTACACGAGTCTATTTTGTCGAATAGCAACAGTAGATATGGTGGAATAACATACGGTGTAGGAAGTTCATGCAGATAAATAGAGACTCTCTCAACTTTCAGTTCATTCTAGTAAATATTTGATGTTAACTTTACTCTACCAGTGGAAGAAAAGTGTTACATATTAAAAAGGTATTCTTACTTTTTTCTTTTTTTAAAATGACAAAGACAACCAGAAAAAAACAACTAATTATGATAAATCTTACTCTGAAATAAAAATAGACCTTTTAGAATGTATGTAACTATGTTCAAATGTCACCTATGAAAGATTGACCCGCGTTTTGTGAACAACCTATTAGTCACCTTCGATAAATCAAACAATACCAATGGACCTATCAATTCCTATTACAGAAACGTGTACAGTAAGTACGTTCCAGTTAAAGAACTGTACAGTCAGACAGTCAGTGGGACAAAAGAAAATAATTAGCATTAGTAGATAGGTTTAATTATAGTAGCACATAGTAATAGTAGCAGTATCTATGCTAGACGTTACTTATCATGTTGGTTAACAGTTTTCTATTCTGGGATATCGCCTTACTGCGTATAAACAACACGAATGTTATTTTGTTTATATGAATGAAATAATTTAAAAATCATTTACATAATAATGATATTGTAAAAGAATAAACGTATGTCAATTTATATATAAACTGTTGTATGTTCATTGTTATTAATTAACGTTCGGGTTTACCTTTACAGAAATGAGTAGGACTAATAGAAGGTCAGTAAATAACAGACATTAATAGTTAAAATTAGAAATGAACCAATGAACGTATACAAAAATCCAAGAACTAAAAGAATTACAATTAAAATAAGTGCAGTACAATAAATAATTTAATTGAATCTGGAAGACCAAGGAAAACTTCATAAAGAAATGATAATTTTCGGAATCAAAGAATATTTTTTCCTATCAGCTTATATGTTTACTAAGTAATTCGTGAGTAAGTCAGTATCATTTTAAGAAGATGAGGTATGGCCTGACAAATCGAAATTCGAAGTAATGAACAACGAGGAAAGAAAAGTGTGGTATAATTCACAAGACCGCGCCTGAATAAACAAAATATTAGATCGATCCTTAAAGACGGTAGTAATTCAACAATGTGTTGTTTCTTTAAGAAAGGTATCGAAAATTTGGCGGAAATTAATGGAAAAATAACTGGTGTTGGCTATGTCAATATTTGAAACAGGAATTTATCACAGTCAACAAAAAAAAATGTGCTTAGGTATGTTTATCTTCCAACAGGATAATGACCTTAAGTATGCATGAAGAGTTGTATCTTCAATTTTCTAAAAAACAGAAATTGAAAAAATTGTACTGAACATTTGTAGACTATTCGGAATCATTTTCCTTTCTCATATTAACAAAAACTCATCTTGGAACTTATTAACGCAATGACAATAAAATATTTTCTTAATAAATATGTC